ACTTACAGATTAAGGGGCGGTAATATTATAATGAGATCCCTTTGCCACGTCACCAAGGGAGCGAAATCAGACGCGCTCGTTTTCTCAGACGCTTGCAGAAAAAGGCTTCCCAAAACAAAGTTACTGGGTTAATCTTTTTCACGTTTCCTTGGTTGGTAGATGCACCGGGGACCTGATTATAGCACTTAAAACCTGGAAAAGTCAGATTTTCATGATATGTCACCTTTAAATCTAAAAGCCAATGCACACTGCAATGACAGGCGCAGAGCAACACTGATAGCCGACTGATTACAGTACATACAGTAATGCACAGACATTCCCGCACCCGAAAAACACAGATTCAACATGTTCAATCTGCAAAAATAAGACACTGACAGGGGAAACACACTGATCCAACAAAACTCAGCAAACGTGGCATTGTGAATTGGCTTTAATACAGCTGTGGTCGTCACACACTGTCAAATGTGGCTTTGCCTGGCTGTGATTGAATAAAAAAGAAAAAAGGTTATAAAGGGGATAAGACACTGGATATGTGTTGGTCACTTCATTAGGAATTTAACTATTATGTATGTTAGATAAACTTTAATACAAATGAATCCTAGAATAAAATGTAGCTAGTTTCTTTGATATCTGTATTTCACTACTTAAAATTATGATTTTGGCCACTGACAATGTCTACTGTATACAACGTTATAATTTTGACAGTCTATTTGAATTGATTTTTTAAATTGTCAATTTATCTTACTAAATGAAAAATGTCTTCATTATAAACAAATTTTAATAACCAAAAATTGTATATTTAGCTGGGTCCCATATTTTGCAAACAACCATTTTTTTGTTGTCTTGTTTTTCCAAATAGAACATTCCTTAAAATTGCCTCATCCAACATGTAACATCAGTTGGACCCTTTAATCACTTTTTTGTGCACATTTCCAGCACTGTTTATGCTACAGTATGTCCAGCAGCAGTGGATGTGTACAGAACAACTGCTCAATCTGATTCATAAACACCAGTCAAGTGTCATTCGTTTCTCCAGTGAAGTCTGGACCATTACAGAAATGTGAAGTTTTCATTTTCTTTGGAATTAAGTGACATTTATTTTATTTATTTTCATGTGATGTTGCAATTTAACAGCAGTAGCACCAAAATATGTTTGACAGTTAATCACCAGTGGACAGGTGGTGGGTAATAATAATAATTCTGTTTAGTGGACAGGTTTCATGCACATCTCCAGGCCATATTGTTTAAGAAATTACAAATTTTTTAATCAACTGTTTTAGTACCATTACAATTTTTTCAGATAGTGACATTATATTCATGGCAGTTACCACACATGGAATTCACATTGACAAATGATTAATTTACTGGCCGTGCTGTTTAATTTCTCAGAGCAGAAAGAGATTCTCTCTCTTCCTTCCTTGACCTCTGACTTTGATGTTGATGTATTATTACGTGTGTAATAGGCTCTGCATTCAGGGTCTCTCTCCTCCTGTTTCTATGGAGACCAGAGAGCCAATCAGCTGCCCTGGCTGTGGACTGTACTAAAGGCTGCAGATGGAGGAGGCAGAGCATGTCTCACACATTAAGATATCTCTCTCACACACGCACACGCACGCACGCACACATACACACACACACACATTTGCTGATACTGCAAATAGGGGTGTGCGATATATATCGTCTGCGATAATATCGTAATTGTTGTTTTAACGATGTGCGATTTGACATTATCGAGTATTTTGCAAAAAACTTTCAAAATACCCCTACAGAGCGTATGCATACATTACGTGAAGTCTAGACTAGTGCGCGCGTGCATTTAGAGTGCTGATGATTCAGTCTATTACAATACATTTAGAATGATCACAAATTCAAGACATGGGGGCAGAAAATGTATATATTTATACCACTTCAAATAGCCTAGTTAATCAATTTCACACGAAGAGTGCCGTTTTTTTCTCCAAAAATGACAATGATTACAAATGTGATATTGATTTTTTACAACAGTTCAATAAACAAGACGTTAATTAAGAGACTTGCGCTTTAGACACCATATTTCCTGTTTTTGCGCTATTTCGACAACAAAAAATAACTCCAAACACAACCACAGCACTGTTTTGCATCTCTGAGCAACATGATGAGGTTTTGTTCCTGAATGAATGAATCGTTTAAATGATTCGGTTCAATCGCATTGACTCACTTATTAACAGTGACTTGCTGCCACCTACTGGCGGTTTTAATTTCACATTCAGAGTATCTTTTATTATTTAAATAATTTCAAATATCAGTATTCAAAAGATAATGGACACTTTTAGAAAAAAAA